AAGACCCTGGTTCACTGTGAGTGTGGATTGCAGTGTTTACGGGGGATATTTGCACGTGTGAAGTGTTTGAAGTGCTTTGCTGAATACACGAGTGTGGGGAGTAAAGTCTTGCCTTTGTTTGTGTCTGTGACCTGCTGGATCGTCTAAACTCAAGGGGCATTGGGTTTTACTAACTAGTGCTTATTGAGTGTGTGTTATACAGAGACGTGAGCTATTCATCCCCTGCTGTATTGGCTTGCCTGGAAGAGGAGCCATAACCTGTATGCTTCCTTTAGGTCAGATCATGAGTAAATATGAGGTTTCTTTTCACTGTTACGCAGATGACACCCTTAGGGAGATTAAAAGGTGGATGTCTGCAAATTTTTTGTCTAAATTAATCAAAAACAGAACTGATTTTATTTGGCCCTTCGGAGTCTGCAGATACATCTAAAATTGAATTGGGTACCTAAGGGTACACTATCCCCTTATCTGATGCGTCAAGTAAAAAACTTAGGTATAATTTGTGATAGTGCACTGAAATTTATATATATACGGACATCATAAGTCTGCTCAGGTCATTGGTTCAGAATTAATTAATTTGTCGGTCACTTCTTTGTACAGTAGCTAGGTGTCACTAGTAAGCAATGCTTCACTTTGAGTAATGAACCTTTGGGTGAAGCAATGGACTGCGAGGTCTCAGTGGTTCAGGAAGCCTCATTTTGCCATCACTAATTGCAGATGAAATGTGAATTTAATGAAACAAAAAACAAACACAAGCTACAAATCAAAACTCCCTCAAGGGGGAAACCGGGAATAATACAGACCATGAACATAAACGCTAGGAACCGGGTACTTGGACAAAAGAACCAACACTGACCTGCAAACACAACAGAGACTAAATAGAGAACAAACACAGAAGGCTAATGACACGACAGGTGAGGAAGGTTAACCACTAAACAGATAACGAGATAGGCGGGGCTGACAATTAGACAGAAGAGCACATGGCCAGGAATACACAGAAGCCATGTGCTCACATGAAACTAGACTTAACAAACACAAGACATACAGGAAATGCCATAGCTCTGTCACCACACAAAACTAGTAACAAAAGCAGAAGTGACAGAGCTATGACAGATAGTCCCACGCACATACAGGAAAATGAGAGGAGACCACTCCTTTGCAGCGGCTGCTCCCATGCTGTGGAATAGTTTACCTCATTATATCAGGGAATGTTCCTCTCTTACAGAGTTTAAACGACATTCAAAAACTTATTTTTTCACTCTGGCATTTTGATCATTCATGAGTGTTGTGCTAGTGGTGTAATAGGTTATTATTGACGCCGCTTAGATTTTGAGGTGTCTGTGACAATGTTTAGAATTTAATTGTGATTTTATGATTGTTATCTTATTATATGTACAGCACTGTAGTCAACTTTTGTTGTATTAATATGTGCATTATAAATAAATTGAACATTGAACATATACTCACCGTTGTCTGGCTGGAACTGATTCTCGCTGTCTTGGCCTGCCTGGAAGAGGAGCCATTACCTGTACACTCACCGTTGTTCGGCCTGGAGCCGATTCTTGCTGTCCTGGCCTGTCTTGAAGAGGAGCCATTACCTGTGTACCTACCATTGTCCAGTCTGGAACCGAGCCGCTAGAGACATAAGCTACTCATCTCCCGCTGCCTTGATCTGTTTAGAAGAGGAGCCATTACTTGTACACTCACCGTTGTTCGGCCTGGAGCCGATTCTTGCTGTCCTGGCCTGTCTTGAAGAGGAGCCGTTACCTGTGTACTTACCATTGTCCGGCCTGGAGTCGATCCGTTAAAGACGGGAGTCATTCGTCCCTTGATGTTCTGATCTGTCTTGAAAAAGACCAGTTATCTGCTTATTCACCATTGTACAAGTTGAAGAGGAACCCCCAGCCATGTACTTACCTCAGTCGTGTACGTCTCGATCGGAGAGGGGGAAGACCAGGATTCTGAGAAGAGGAAGAAGCCGATTGAGCGATACTTTATTTTAAGAAATACTTTTAATTCAATAAAGAAGAACTTTGTAACTGTTATCAGATTGTCTGGTCTGGTGGTGTTCTCTGCTAGCTCCTCGAGGTGGTACGGGTTACAGGGGCAGTGCGCGAAGGGTCGGTCAACTGCCACCTTTTCCATATACTGGATTTCCACCTTTAGTTGAGCGACCAGAGACCCCTAATGGCAGAAGAAGATTTGCCAGTTGGCCGGCCTCAAGTTACGCCTATCTTTATGGGTGCACCTTGGGCCCAGAGATATGGGGGACCAGGGTCAGAATTGAGCTTATCGGAATGTAAGTCGCACGTCGAGTACCTGGCGGGACTTCAGGGGTTGAGCGCCCCACAGAAGTTACAGTTCATCCTGAATTCGCTGAAAGGCGAGGCCAAGAGAGAGGTGCAGGCCGCACCTGAAGTGACCCAAGCTACGGCACAAGCTATCTTTGATTTCCTGGCCGGTCAGTACGGCAACGCCACTCCAGTAGCTGTCCTACGAACTCAGTTTTTTAACTGCAAGCAGGGACCCCGGCAAACGCTACGGCCCTTCGCCCTTCGACTATGGGAGCAGTTTACCAGGCTAAAGGGGAGACGTGATCATGGTCTGGGAGAAGAGGAGGCCCTGTTGCGTGACCAATTTTTCCTGGGGCTCCGGGAGGGCTCTGTTCATCCGAGCTTGCGTGTGCAGCTCTGCCGGGACCCCGAGCTGACGTTCGAGGATTTGCGGAGAGAGGCCTTGGCTTTGGAGTTAGACCACGCGAGGACGGTAGATCCCTCCTTTTGCATGGCCGCTAGTGGAACGAGCGATTCTACCCCTTCTGGGCTGTCCGATTGGAAGCATACCTTACGCGCTGAACTCATGAAAGATGTCCGTGAACAAATGACCGAGATGTCGAAGACCCTTCTGGAGGAGCTCCGCCGGGGACGGCCAAATCCTTTGACTTTGCCCCGGGAACGTTCTTATTCAGACGGGAGTCGAGACCCAGGAAGACACCCATTCCGGCCTGCCAGCCCTAAATTCCAGTGGGACGAACAGGGTCGCCCGATTTGTAATGGCTGTGGAGAGCCTGGACATTATAGTCGCCAGTGCGGCTCTCGCCGCGGTTCCCAAGGGGTTTTTTAGAGTTGCCGGCCACTGTGGGTCAAGTGGTCGGGACCCCCTGGATGGACCCTTCTTTGTCTACTGTCCCTAGAGACAGTTTGGTTGGGCATTGCCCTCTTGTGGAAATTCAGGTGATCAGTGTCAAGGTCCGGTGCCTAGTAGATACCGGGTCCCAAGTTACCCTATTCTCTGAAAGCCTGTCTAAAAAATTGTTCAACGCCCAACGCTTGCAAGAGGCAGAGGCTCCTTGGCTTACTCTGCGAGGGGCAAACGGTCTGGACATCCCTTACATTGGATACCTGGTCACAGACTTTGAGATCCATGGGGTCACCGTACCGCAGAAAGGGTTCGTGATTGTCCGAGACCCTTGCTTGGGGACGCATCGAGCCCTTCTGGGCATGAATGTTATTACGGATTGTTGGGAGGAATTGTTTCAGGCTAGGCCCATTCGAGCCGCTCCGCCCGCCGAGTAACGGGAGTGGGAACACATTGTGGCCGATTGCCGCTGGATACACACGGCCAGTTCCCAAAGGGACCGGGAAGATACCGGCCGGGTGGCTTGTCGATATGCCCTGTGTGTTCCGGCCCGGAGCAAGGCTGTTATTTGGGCCCGGTTGCCCGCTCGGACTTATGGACCGGAGGACTGGGTCCTCGTCGAACCCCATTGGGACTGTCAGAGCGTAGAGGTGGCTCGAGGACTAGCTGTGGTCCGTAGGGGCAGAGTCTCTGTGAGAGTAAGAAATGTAAATCCCTATCCCGTCAACCTGTACCGCCATCAACGTCTGGCCCAAGTTACCTTGGTGAGCCCCCAACAAGTGAGAGAAGGCGGGGGGGTTAGATTCTGTCAAGTAAGCTCTACGGTGGTCGAGGTGGCTCTGGAGCGAGTGGACCAGCCCGTGGACTGTACTGGAGATGGGATGCCGGCTCATCTTCGGGGAGAATCACTGCGAGGAGAGGGGCTGGAAGAGAGTCAGACACAACAGCTGCAGGATTTCCTGGCGAAATGGTAGCATGTTTTTTCCACACACGACGAGGATTATGGCCGTACCGACGTTGTGAAACATCAGATTCCTACCGGTGATGCCGCACCAAGGCGGGAGCGGTATCGTCCGCTGCAGCCAACTCTCTATTCGGAGGTTCGTACCCTATTGGGGTGGATGTTGGAGAAAGGGATTATTCGGGAGATCAGTAGCCCTTGGGCAGCCCCGATCGTCCTGGTACGAAAGAAGACCGGAGCCTGGAAGTTCTGTGTGGACTACCGTAAATTGAACCAAGTAACCAAGAAGGACGCCTTCCCACTGCTGCGGATTGAGGACTCTCTCAACTGTTTAACTTTAGGGGAGTTGAAAAAAATTCCTTTAAATAAGTGATCAAAACAGCAGGAATGATCTGAAATTGGGAATAATCACTAGCACTAGTGACTAACTTTTAGATTTGCTTGGAACAACACTCCATAGTTTTGATCTCCAGGTAGCTATGCTTGTAGATGCAGCTAAAATTTAGATGAATTACAACAATCTAACAATAATTTTTGAAGGTCTTTACATTGTAGAAAGGGGAGCGTCACCCAAGTCTACGTTTACATAACACTGTACTGAGACAACTTCATCAGAAACAGATTAATAAAGATTGTCTGTTGTTCTTAATAATTTGAGTAAAGATAAAGGATGGAGCAAGATTTATTTTGCAAATTTTAATGTTACTTTAGTCATTCATGTCACGTTAGTGCTTGGCTAACCTTTGCACTTATTGATTACAGTTAATACAGTTCCCGCATGTGTACTGCAATAAATTAGAAATATACACATCGGTTTGATGATGGATAAACACTTGTTAATGCTGATGGTGAGAAATTACAGTTAAACATCTCATAATGTGCCACAAGCCGGAGCCTTAACTCCTTTTTAACGCCTTTGTTTTATTGAATCTTCTTTCTTCGTACTGGACTGATGCGCAATGACTGGTGATGTAGAACTGAGTAATGTACAGATAATAACAACTGAAGATGTCCACTTCCTTTGGACAGGAATTTCACTTGATATGGCAGAATACTCTGTGAAGTTCACTTTGCAAGTCATTTCTGGAGTTCAATTTTGCACATTATATATGTGTCCCTAATTAAAGACATCTGATTCAACTCATCAGCTCTTTATAAGAAACTCTAGGACATGAAATGGGTGTCTGACAAAGGAAACATTCAAAATGTGCAGTTGAGAGCGTCCTCCAGGAACAAGGTTGAGAAACACTGCTTTAGATAATAAATCAATTATTACAGAAGTTTTGTTCTGTTAAACTTGCACCAAATCGATGTGTGATGTTCTCTTCTCACAGATCCCTTTATAAGCTGAATTACATGCCATATCAAGCCAGCCGGATAAAGTTGGCCACCTTTGGTTATGATCCACATTCACAGCACAGTTCTCTACTGTATGTCCATTAGGCTCATCAGTCGCCCAGAACCTGAAAATACAGATCCGCATTAGATGTTCAGTGATGCTCTCTGTGTGATATGATACCGAATGCGAGAATCATTTATTAGATAATAATCAGTTGAGTTCAGTGATGTCTCACCCAGAGGTCAGTGTGCTGTTATCAACCCATTTCCATCTGCCCTCCGCATCACTGTCCGTCAGACCAATCCAGACTATACCAGAACCATACGTGTTCTTCACAAAATCCTGAGCAGATGAAACAGTTGCGTATTTCTGTAACGCTTTAGATTACAGCCAGCAAAGTACAGCGAAAGTAAAACAAATACGGCATACCTTTCTGTAATTACAGTGTACGTGTAGGTATAAGGGATCAATATATATAAAGTTTAGGGAATAAAGGGGTAACAACCAGGAAAATTATCACAATATTTATACTGTACTATACTACAATTTTTTTTAAATTACACACACACACACACACACACACACACACACACACACACACACACACACACACACACACACTCTCTCACACTCACTTGTTTCTCTGTATTGTTTATGATGATCAGATCTGCTCCTCTCTCTCTACAGTATCTTCTGCTCTCAGTCCAGCTCTTCGTCTCACTCGGCATGTAGTACAAACTGGATTTGTAGTAAGTCCATCCATCTGTAAACAAGCAGTTTAGCGGTTAGCTTTTTATTCCCATTTACACTCACCTGTCAGTAACTTTAACAGATATAGACGGTGGGCCGAACGCTGCTATCTGCTTTAGTTTTTGAAATGATAGATCCTCGAGGATAGAGTAGCTGCTTTTTTCACATAAACTAAATATTTTTTTTATGAACACGTATCCGTTTGTTGGCAGTGTCAAGTCGATCATAGTTTTTTGAAAACTAAATTTACGTTTAATAAACGGATGAGGCACACGCGAGGGAGTACTATACATCTAACCAATCAAAAACGAATTCTATCGTCACGTGACTAACGTCTGCCAATAGTATTCGTTCAAAATATAGTACCATTACCACGACTGTAGCGTAGCACATGCGTTCTCTAGCTAGCTAGATCCATGAGTTCACACCATAAAATCTTCTCTAATGAAATCTACACAATCAAACATTTTCCAGCAGGAATCCTATCCGAAGACAGAGTGCGTGAACTCTGTAAACCGTTAACATAATAGGTTATTCCGGATTATGTTTGTATTTACAGGTAACGTTAACGTTACACTAGTTAGAAATGACATACAGATCACAGAGAAGAAAACGTAAACAGAGTTATTCTATCAGGCAGGGCTGGACTGGCCATCGGGGATACCGGGCATTTGCCCGGTGGGCCGACGTGCTTTGTGGGCCGATACATCTCGTACTTAATTTTTTATTTTTTTTGTCTGAACGGCCCATAAAACTCGTACATCGGCGGCCCATTGCGTTTGGTTTTATTTAATTGGCGGCTCTGGGATCTTTGTGCCGGTGTAATGCATTGGACAAAAAAGTCAGCGTAGGTTTTTCTTTTTCTCACAGACCGGCGCATGAGATGAAACGCGTAAATCAGCAGCCCATTGGTTATTTTCTTGATTGACACTGGGCTGGTCCAATCACATCTTTAAACTCCTCCCCCTTTGAGCTCTGAGTGAGCGAGCAGTGTCAGTGTGTATCTGTCAAAATAGTCAGAGCGATGGAGAAGAAACGCAAGGAATGTGCAGAGAAATAGCGTGAAAAAAGAAACTTCAAAGGCCCTTCAAGTGTCTGATGAGGATAGAGGAGGATAAGGAGAGAGATGAGTGAGTGTAGAGAACTGTGGTAAGCACAACTAGGCTACTGTCACAACACTTAGGCTATGTAGGAACCCACTACCCAGTTACGCATTATTTACACATCTGCATATTTGACGATTACGCATTTTATTAGAATTGTAATGAGACGAGTTTGTAAACCATGTTTTTCTTCAAAATAAAAGGTCGATGCCGTTTCCGTCAAAATAAATAAATGTGCTTATCTCTGTATATAAATTAGTACGAAACTAATTATGAAAGTTGCTTTTATTTTTCAGTGCATTTGTTTTACAACATATGGCTATTACTGCCATGGGATTAATATTATAACTATAATTATGTAGTAGTGTAATGTATACAGACACTATATCACAAGTTTTGATTTTTTCTTTGTTCAATTTGCACACTGAATATGGGTTGGAGCTCTTTATTTTTAACTCTCAAAGTGCACCAGATTGATGAATTTAACATTAAAAAGCACAAAATTTTCTTACGGGGGATCATGCCCCTGAACCCCCCTAGAGGGACAGAGGTGCACTCACCACAGATTTCACAAAATCCTGTGGGAAAAACCGGTATTCCTATCCCAGCTTATAGCTTTCTTTAGGATTAATCACTGTGGAGTATAGTTCAACTTAGTAGTTATTTCATCGGTTAACTCTTACTCACTCCTATTCACTTATGGCATTAGTGGTTTTAATAGGAGTTGGTATACATATTCAAGGGCATGGAAAGTTCGGTTGTGTTATATAGTGGGCCAATCTGGGCCGAAATGCCCGGGCCGATTTTTTGTCCCAGTCCAGCCCTGCTATCAGGCTGTACAGTAGCGCCATAAATTAGGATATGAAAGACGAGGATTACTAGACAGAGTAATCTCTCTAATCAAAGACTTATTACACACACACTCTGCTTATTACACTCTGCTAATTACACACACACACTCTGCTTATTACACACACACTCAGCTTATTACACACACTCTGCTTATTACACTATGCTAATTACACACACACTCTGCTTATTACACACACACTCTGCTTATTACACTATGCTTATTACACACACACTGCTTATTACACACACACTCTGCTTATATTACACTATGCTTATTACACACACACTGCTTATTACACACACACTCTGCTTATTAAACACACACTCTGCTTATTACACACACAGGGACATGCACAAACATGCCAAATATTTAAAATAAAAGGATTAAAATGTAAAAGATTATTATTGTGTACATAAAGAAATGGTGGAATCCGGCTTGTCCCGTAGAAGGTCTATCTATAGTAACGTTAGGTTGTGTGTAGTTGATGTAATCGTATGTAGCTAGCTAATAACGTTACATGTTATCTCTTCCATGACTAGCTATTAGGTGATGTAGCTAGTAGATGTAAACTTATATGATAAATGTTATCTTTTCCACTTTAATCTCTGTCTAGAAAAGATAAGGGAAAAACAGAAAAATGTGATGACTGCAGGGATTGTAGTAGTAATGCTTCCAACTTGTTAGCAGATAACACTTTAAAATTCTTTAAATTGTCAAATAAAACAAACGACATATAATTGTTTGCTAAAATAAAGCTTTTTCCCCCTTTTGTTTAGTGTTTTAATTGAGTCATGACATACATTTTCTAAAAATGTCAACCTTATTTTCAGTTTCAGCAACTACAAGCTGATACCAAGTTGGATAACCACTTTAATTTACTGCCGAGCCCTAATGGTATGCTTTTATTATTCAAATTGACACAAGGGGCTCTATCTTGCACCCGGCGCAAATGACTTTGTACACTGACACATGTATCATTCCTATTTTGCACCCGCGCAAAGCGGGCTTTTCCCTCCCCAGACGCACGTCGGTTAACTAAGAAATACACTTGCGCTCCCCGGGGCGGTTCAGCGCAAAGAGGAGGCGTGTTCCGGCGCAAACTTTCCCTCATGCTATTTTGCAGTTCCAGAAAACAATTGCGCCACTGACCAGTAAAAACCTAGTCTAAAGTCAGTGGCGCGTTGCGCGTACATTCAGATGCTATTTTAAGCGCGCATGCTTGGCCATAATACAGAGTCTGAACAACGCGCATACACTGTAGATGATTCTCTCATCTACACAGATGCATTTTACTTTTTGCAAATGATATATTATTATAAGGAAAAATATTAAAACACGAGGAAAATCATTGTTGTGTCCATGACAATTTGAAAAATAGGCATATAAGCTTACACATTTACCCTGATTATTATATGCATGTTTAACCGAAGCTAATTTGGGTGGGTTTGTTCCGTCCCCAATGTCACTTCTCTTTCTTTTACGGCCCTGACGAGAACATCGATCTTCTCGGCTGTGAACCGATCCTGAAGCGCGCTGGTAAATGCGCCGTTATAATAGTTTTGCGCCATGGAACAAGCGCGCCTCGTTCATCATGCTCTTAAAGGGAATGTGATATGACGCTCTTATTGGTTTGTTTCCCGTTACGCCCAAACCACACCTATGAATAATGAAGCTACTTCAGACCAACCCCTTTTAGATTTGCGCCAGGCGCAAGAGTCATTTATCCCGCCGGGAAAATAGCAACAGCGCCGGGATCCGCCCACAAAGTTGCTTGCGCTTGCGCTTTGACATTTGCGTTTCAGATCGTTAAAATAGGGCCCAATGTGTGATTACTGTATGCATTTTAATCTGGGCTCATCTTACACTTTTTTTTTTATTCTTTTTTTTAAGTGCCTCATAAATGTAAATCCTCATTTATTAGACCGTGAACCAATAATTTTACTACACCGTTTACAACTCTGCTAATCTGTTTCCCCAGGTAATCCCAGATCCTCAGCCCTGCGAGACATCTTCTTGACCTGATCGGACTAAGCCCTGACACATCTATTCTGCTGAAACAATGAAAATGCCCTTTGTTTTTCAGGGTTCATCATAAAACCCCTTTTACTGTTTTGCTCATCTGATTGATGGAGCACATTTCAGTCGCTATATGTTGAAAAATGTGTCCACTAGATGTCTAGTATGGACAATCTGTCGCTGTGTCTATAGAAGCCTTTCTCTTAATAGATCCATGGTCTGGCCTGGCAGGGTTTACATGGGCAGGGTTTATTTTTTGTGCGCATAGTTTCGGAGAGATCTATTTATTGTTGTTAATATGTTAAATGTTCTACCATTGTATATATTACTGCCATATACTACTAAAACCTGCTTGACCAAATAGTTGAATTGTCATTTAGTTATAAAGGTAGTCATGCTAAGATAATAGATATTTAACTTTTATAAGACTAAATATATAATAATTAACTTAATATATATGTTATTACATTATATAATTATATCTGTTTGTTTTTTCACTATTTCTGAGATGTAAATATCAATAATTTATGTTTGGGGTTAAAAAGGATCCTAAGCATCTATACCATGATTTATCCAAACGTATGTTAGATATATAAATATAGGCCTACTACAATATAACATTGCCGCTATGTCACGCCCGCCCATTTCGGGGGCCTAGTCTGGCCGTCTGCGATTGGTTAGTATTTTTAATGACGTTAAAAACTACAATCCGATTGGCGCAGCTACTAGAGCTGTCCCGCGATTTGCCTAAGAAGATTGACAATCAAAACATACGTTTGTGAAAATATATGATCAAACCAGAATTGCCAACAAATTTTATTTGACTACATATAATGACTTAATATCGCACATGAAAAAAGCGTATACTCTATCGATGGAGATCGATCAACAACACGAAAAACGCGTTCGGCCCACCGTCTAATAGTAAACTCACAGAATATAACACTGAAAGTTACTGAGAGCACAACCCAACTCCATCTTACTTTAACAGTGTCTGCTGTTTAGAAAATAACTACATAGCTTAAAGAAACTTTACCATGACTCTGAAGATGATTTCTTAGCTGGTCTCTCTCATTGGTCAGGTATTTGTTCTTTATTATTAGCCCATCTCTCTCTTCTGTGTAGTTTTTGCTCTTTGTGTGGATGTGGACACACAGCACTATGACTGCAGTCAGCAGAAGAACACACAGCAGAACCAAACACACTGTTCTGGAGCTTCTGATCTTCACACAAACACTTCCTGAACACCACAGATATGAAGATATTGATTACTCGTATTACTCAAATGTGTGTGATAAGGTAAAATGAATCTCAGTACCTGTGTGTTGAGCCGTTTGGTGTCTTTTGGTGTCCGAGTTCTCTGTTTCTCCCCCGACATTAAAACTATTTATAGGATCAGTATTAGCATAGATATTCATCTCTTCTTCATCTTCTCTGTCCATCACATGGTTCCTGGGAATTTTCATATTGTCGTAATAAGACATTCAATCTGCTGGTGTTAAGAAATTATTATTAGTTGTTTCTTCAAGTGGAAATCACTATTATTCTGAACTTCTGCTTTTGAGCTTTTGCTTTTAGACCACTGTGGTCAAGAACATGTGATATCCTGTTAGGATGCGGAAAAAAACCGCTGACTGCTGAAAATAACTCTCCGTGTTGTCATTTTCTGCAGATCATTATGAAAAGTTGCTCTTGTAAAAATGTACTCCTTCACTACAGTTATAATCTTTGTATAACAAAAACATTAGTTGAGAAATAGTTGAATTTATTATGGTGAACAATACCACCCAATTTATATATTAAAATATTTATGATTTTTCAGAACACTATAGGAACTAGGAAACAGTATAGCAACCAGTGTAATTTATTACGAGAAGTGAGAATGAACTGAAAGAAACACAGGGCTTAAATACACAGGTGAATGAAACCAAATTAACAACAGGTGTAACATAACCAAATCAACGAGAAACCATAGCAACAAACTGAAAACTAGGTCTCAGCATATTTTAACTAAACACATACATATACATTTCCATGTAACCTAGAAAGCAACAACAAAAACATGATGTACAGTGAGTCTAAGCCGTGCATTAATTTGAACGGTGACAGCTATTATGGGAGTGTCACAGAGTCATCTGTAACACCTGCCACACCATCAGACTCTAATAACCCAAATCCACTCATTCGCTCATTATCTCCTGAATACTAATTCACTACACCTGCACCCGCTCATCACTTCCAACACTTAAATACCCTCACGTCCCTTCATTTATTGTCTGGTCTCGTCAGAGAATGTTAGACTCCCTGTCACTCCTGAAAGATCGTGATTTCTTCCATCGTCTGAAAATCATCAATATCTACCTCAGGCTTGTGAACTTCCACCATCTGCTTATTAAATAAAGCTTCTCACCTGTCATTCTTCTGTGTCTCTCTTCTGTTCGTGACAGAAGACCAGACCATCAATATGCAAGGAGCCACAGGTACTGGAGAAGGCCAACCACGGGTCCCTCGCGTTGAACAAACACCTCCCGGCAACCCGGCAGTTCCTCCCGATCCTGATCCACATGCACCGCCGACGATCTACAGTCCTATCGCCCGTCCAACTACGTACTCCGGAGAAGCGGAGGGCTGCAACGGTTTTCTACTCCAGTGCTCGCTCTATATGGAGGCGCAACCACAGGTTTTTCCCACTGATCGTACCAAGATTGTCTGCCTGATCTCCCTCCTCTCAGGTCGAGCTCTCCAGTGGGCCCAAAACATCTGGGACTCAAACGGCGCTCTCACTCGCTCATGGGAAGCATTCATCGCGCATTTTAAGGAGGTTTTCGGCCTTAACACTTCCGCTCTCTCCATCCATGATCAGCTCTACCACCATCGTCAGGGAAATGCCTCGGTGAGTGAGTACGCGCTTCAGTTCCGCACTCTAGCGGCCAACAGTGGGTGGAATGAGACTGCGCTTATCACCTGTTTCCGTCAAGGATTGAATCCCCGCATTCGTCAGCAGATTGCTGTCCATGATGATATCATGGGTCTAGAAGCGATCATCCAACGCACCATTAGAATTTCCCAACGTTTATCAGCTTGTTCACTGGATCAGCCTGCAGGACCCTCCCGACGTTTTACATCATCTCTATCCCTTCCGGCACCAGAACCCATGGAAGTGGATTCTTTCCATCTCACCGCTTCAGAGCGTCAGCGACGCATTAACCACGCCCTCTGTCTGTACTGTGGTTCAGGTGAACATCTCATCAACCAATGCCCAATTAGACCACCACGCGCTGCGGTGAGTTCCATTTGTATTTCTCCCATGATTTCTCCGCTAACACGTACTCCTGTGATGGTCATAACTGGTTCTCGCTCTGTTCCAGCGTACGCCCTCATCGACACTGGCTCCTCGGGCAACTTCATTTCCGTCCAGCTCCTCAAGAGACTCCACCTCCCGAGGCGAAGTTCCCCAAAGAAGTTAGAAATTCAAACCATACTAGGTAAGCCACTGGGCCGAGGTCAAGTTTGTTACCAATCTCCCACTGTTACACTCCGCATTGGAATTCTACATCAGGAAGAAATTTCTTTTCTGGTGCTGGATGGGTCTACAGTGGACATCATCCTGGGTCGTCCATGGATGTCAGTCCATGCTCCACAAGTGGACTGGACAACGGGTGAGGTCATCCAGTGGAGGCATTCCTGTTTCTCATCATGCATACTGCCAGTCATCAAGACCGGTCGTCTGAAACCTCCACCTGATAAACCTCACGATCCTTCTAAACTTCATATCAACTCCACTTCGATCGAAAGTCCTGAAACCTCTTACCAGCCAGAGATTCCTCCTGAGTATCAGATGTTCCAAGATGTATTCAGTAAACAACGTGCCACCCAATTGCCACCTCACCGGCCGTGGGATTGCGCCATCGACCTGTTGCCCGGTACCATCCCTCCAAAGGGCCGAATTTATCCGCTGTCCATACCAGAGCAGAAAGCATTAGATGAGTACATAAAAGAAGCCCTGAAACAACGCTTCATTCGGCCATCCACCTCTCCGGCAGCATCTAGTTTCTTTTTCGTGGGGAAGAAGGATGGAGGCTTACGGCCGTGTATTGATTATCGTGCGCTCAACGAGCGAACAGTCAAGTTCCGCTACCCCCTTCCTCTTGTCCCAGCTACCCTGGAACAGTTACGTGGTGCCCAAATCTTCAGCAAACTGGATCTCAGAAGTGCCTACAACCTCGTACGCATTAGAAGTGGCGACGAATGGAAAACAGCGTTCATCACTCCTTCGGGGCACTACGAATACCTCGTTATGCCTTATGGGTTGTCCAACTCTCCATCCGTTTTCCAATCCTTCATGAATGAAGTATTCCGAGAGTTCTTACAACGGTTTGTAATAGTGTACATCGACGACATCCTGATCTTCTCCAAGAATCTAACCGAACACCATCATCACGTCCGCCAAGTTCTACAAAAACTTAGAGAGCATCAACTCTTCCTAAAACTGGAAAAATGTGAGTTCCACCGTACCACCGTCCACTTCCTAGGCTATGTAATCAGTCCTCTGGGAGTCCAAATGGACCTGAGGAAGGTGGATACCATCAGGAACTGGCCTCAGCCCACCACCACAAAGGAACTTCAACGGTTCCTGGGTTTCGCAAACTTTTACCGCCGTTTCATCCACCAATACAGTTCCATCAGCTCCTCGCTGACTTCTCTCCTCAAGGGCCGACCCAAATCTTTGTCTTGGAGCCAAGCGGCGGTTCAAGCCTTCCAACAACTCAAAGAAGCCTTCTGTTCTGCTCCCATCCTGATCCATCCCAATCCAGATCTTCCCTTCGTGGTGGAAGTGGACGCCTCATCAACCGGGGTGGGAGCCGTTCTATCCCAGTACCAAGGAGAACAGCCAGTACTCCATCCATGTGCTTTCTATTCAAAGAAACTGTCCCCGGCTGAACTAAATTATGACATCGGAAACCGTGAACTGTTGGCCATCAAACTGGCATTCGAAGAATGGAGACACTGGTTGGAGGGAGCACACCATCAAGTCGAGGTCATAACGGATCATCGCAACCTCGAGTTCCTTCGTGAAGCCAAACGTCTGAACACTCGCCAAGCGCGATGGGCGCTCTTCTTCACCCGTTTCAACTTTCGTGTGACCTATCGTCCCGGAGATAAGAATCAGAAGGCCGACGCACTTTCCCGCCTTCATGCGCCAGAATCAACGGTGTCACCTCCTGAGCCCATTCTCCCTCCTACCGTAGTCGTCAGTCCAATTGAATGGACCCTAGACAATCAGATCCAAATGGCAACCCGTGCTGAACCGGCTCCGCCAGGAGGTCCTGAAGGCCGGACATATGTTCCATCTTCACTACGCCTACCCCTCCTAGACTCGGTCCACACGTCCCCAGGCTCTGGACACCCTGGTTGCCACCGAACCCTCTCACTCCTCAGTAACCGGTTCTGGTGGCCCACCATCGCACAGGATGTCTCCCGCTATGTTCGAGGATGCTCGATTTGTGCCACCACCAATATCCCACGTCGGCTCCCGGAGGGTAAGCTCAAACCCCTACCTATACCTCGTCGACCATGGTCCCATCTGGGTATAGATTTCATGACCGACCTCCCTCCTTCCGACTCACAGACCTGCATCCTAGTTGTAGTAGACCGCTTCTCCAAAGCCTGTAAACTGATCCCTTTGAAGGGTCTCCCCACGGCTTTCGAAACCGCCAACAAACTGTTTGAAAACGTTTTCCGCCATTTTGGTCTTCCAGAAGACATAGTATCTGATAGAGGTCCCCAATTCGTCTCCCGCGTCTGGCACGCTTTCTTCAGGTTGCTCGGTGTTTCAGTCAGCCTATCCTCAGGCTACCACCCTCAATCCAACGGCCAAACGGAACGGAAAATACAGGAAATTGGGAGATATCTGCAAACTTACTGCAATCAGAATCAAAACAGCTGGAGCCGCTTCCTCCCATGGGCCGAGTATGCTCAAAACTCGCTACGCCAGTATACCACCGGTCTCACACCATTTCAATGTATACTCGGATACCAACCCCCTTTGTTCCCATGGTCGGGGGAGCCGTCGGAGGTCCCAGCAGTCAACACCTGGTTTGAGACGAGTGAAAGGGTATGGAACTCTGCGCACGTCCACTTGCAGAGAGCGGTACGACGTCATCAGAATCAAGCTAACTCTAGGAGAGGTACAACCCCTGTGTATCAACCAGGTCAAAAAGTCTGGCTATCCACCAGAGACATCCGTCTTCGCTTACCCAGCAAGAAACTGAGTCCTCGATATATAGGTCCCTTCCCCATTGAAAGACAAATCAACGAAGTCACCTACCGGCTTCGCCTTCCCCCAAGCTACCGCATTGCACCGTCATTTCATGTCTCCCTTCTAAAACCTTTCACTGACCCTCTAACTTCCTCTTCCCCAGGGTCTGATGTCCTGGACATACCTCCTCCTCCTGATGTCACGGAAGAAGATTCCATCTACCCCGTCCGAGACATCCTAAACTCCCGTCGACGAGGTCGCCTCCTGGAGTATCTC